GTGACTCTAGCAATTCATCGTATAGATATATTTCTAAAAATAGGACTAATCTTGTTTTGAGAGTGACTAAATGCCACCGAAAATAAACATAAACAATACTCATATTTAGTTTCGCAAAAGTATCTACGATTGCCATGAAATAGCTATTCATTTGTGGCTCGACTAGTGGTCAGTAAAAGGGTAACACGCAAAGAGCACTAGTATAAATGCAGTCAGTATTAAATTTTGTGCAACAAATAGATGTGCAGGTGTGACGCAACCGGCGGGAGTCTGCGCGAGGTCAGGCGATCGCCGGTCTTCTGAGATAACATAGGATAACTACCAGTGAAAGTCATAGTTATAATGAAATTGTTGTATATTAAACATTTAAATTTATTCCATTTGAAGTAGATACGTCTGTGCATTGTTAATTATTGTATACAAGATGAATATTTTATCACCTTTTTTCATTAAGTTTGTGTGGTCTGTTGTGTAAAGTTTGCAATCCCCATGTTACTAGAATAACTTCTTAATAGTAATCATTAAAACTTCTTTGCATAAGAAAAAATGTACCATAATTACATATCACAAAAAAGTCGCATCGTTCAGAAACATTGCAACAAACAATATTAATTTACATTACGAAATATGTTTTTTATAAACAGTAACAAATCTGTCTTTGGTAATTGCTTTACCCTCGCTGTTTAAATAATCCTTCGATTCAAGGTTAAAGACATCACGTGCTTCGTAGAGACTGTACTCAGCTTCATTACCAATTCTATACGTTTATGTGAAGACTTTTACCAATTTCGCTACAATAGGAACTTAAGAATTAACAAAATCGTAGAATCGTAATCGTAAAGAAATTCTAGTACAAGTTAACGGACCACATAAACCAGATCACGTATATAATCAAGGTTATTTAAAATATAATTTTTATTTTAAATTATAAGTTTAAATCCTTCAAAAACTTACGGGTATTTAAATGTGAATAAAAAAGCAATTTTTCTTGTTCTTTTTATGTAAAACATTAAGAAAAATTTGTTAAAAATGTTAACATATTTCGGCTTAATAGCCGCCTCATGATCAAGACCATCAATATAGCTATTAAACAAATGACATGATTCACCTCGTTTATAGATTACATTTTTGTATTCAGCTATTATAAACTACAATTTACTAACGTGATACATGAGTTTCTGAATGTATTTAATTTATTTCAGGCTACGACCGCGGTTACATCAGTGACCCGTGATACCTGTGACTTAGCAACTTTACCGTTCATCTGCCGCTTGTTTGATGTCCCACTTAGCTTCATTTTAATTCTACATATTTCTATCTGATCCGCATTGTTTTATTTGTACAAATTTATGTTATTGATAGCTATCCGAATAATTATTTAACGTGTTTTATCTTTCGATTTTACGCTATTTCTTTTGCTGAATATCAAGTTTAGTTAATTAAGTTGTATATATTTTAATCGATTTTCTTACATAATAAAGGTATTGCTAGATCGGGCTTGTCGAAGATTTTCAAAATCTGTTCTTATATGTAAATCTTTTTTATTGGACTAAAAAAATCATACGAAATTGAAACGTGCTACACGAATTTTCAGTGACAAAAAAAGATTCGTCAAGACCTACGAAATACTTCTTATATCATCAAAATCAGTAAATCATTAACTCTAGGGATGCCGGTGACTATGATAACGAATTAAAAAAAATCGTATTTTTTAAGCAGGAATTGCGACCATCTCTATGAACTCTATGATGACCGACCATTAGCAATTCTGTCGCATTACATAACCTTCGACATTTCGATAACGACTATTTTACAGACATTCTCTCGAAAGATTCTCTTAACATTTCAATCTGCCTTTCTAAAGGAAATTATTACTTTTGTCAACATAACGATTTTTATTGTGTAAGTTACCCAAATTATAACATAAAATTATCAATACTAATACATATTCATAAAGCGACTCGTTCATAAAGTTTCTATCATATCAGTAGTATTGTACTCTTCCTGGTGATATTCCGACAATTATTAAAATCATTGTAAAACGGCCGTCTGTCGTTACGACTGTCGTTGATGTCTTTTGATCGAATTATAACAATCTCGTCTTTTTCCTCTGCTTGTCTTCTAAACTATTGATGTTATGGAAGTTTTAAAAGAGTTACTGGCATACAACATATTTTTCTTTACAAATTCATCTTCAACTTACATTTGAAATCTGTTCTTAAACTGAAAAACGTATAAAATACGAGCAACAATGTAGGTATTTTAAATATTTTTCTTCATATAATACTTTTAAAGCAGATCTCCGAAGCCTTATAAACTATATAAAATGTGTACCCAAAATCGGTTTTGTTACACAATATAGTATGTAGTATGTTATATAACAACGTTTTAACGACAAACCGTTGCAAATTTCAACTGTCGTCGGTCCATATATTAAATACATTTGTTTGTTAAATGGCACATTAACACAACCGAGACGGACGCGCACATATATTTATGACATGTGTGAAAGTTTCTGCACACGACATCGGCAAGCCCGGCGATCGGTGTTGTCGCGCGCTCGCACACGTGTTCAGCGCCCAGCCCATCATTTTCTGCGGAAGAACCCTCTATAATTGTTTTCTCGTAACGCCGTTTCACCGTACGATCTGATCTTGACAACCTTAACCAACCATGACAAATATTTACTCCCACCGAAAGTGTGAAAGTATTTGACTTTGAGTAACTGTTCACACTAAGAATTCGTTACTAGTTAATGATTTTGCCATCATGTAAAGTTATATCAACTAAGTGATGTAACATGAGATTTTACAAGAACAATTTAACAAATAAAATCTTTCGTGTGCCCTCTCTGTTTTCTTTTAATTTATAGGAAAATGAAAACTACAGAACAACATATGTTTGTATGAAGGTTTGTCATCTATATCGGTCTTCATTACTCTTTTAGAGAAGCTTGCTATAAATTCTACTCATAGTCCAAATACTCCCTATGATGTGATATAGTACATTTTAGCCACCCCTTCCCCCCTTTCTAATTGCGCTTTGGGTGAGCATTGAAAGAAGGAATAATTATTTAATTTAGGCTAGGCTATTCTTAAAAAGGGCTTTAACGATTTGTCACCTTTTAAATATTTCCGCCAATGTTTTATTATTTAAATTTTGAATGTTTAGTTCACTTACGTTCTTTTGGGATATTCAATTGAAAGAACGTTGAAAAAAAAAGTTATATTAAAAAAAAGAAAACATAAAATTAAATATTTTTTATGATTATAATTTTTTTTCTACACTAAGCAAATAGCCAAATGTTTTAAGCAGCTTGGAAATATAATCTGTGCACCCTTTTCTCTATGTCATACTCTATGAATCTATGTTAAAACATCATTTCTTTCTTTTCATATAGCACTCTGCTAATTCAGAGTTACTCCCTTTGTACTTGCCTTAATTTCATTAATAATGGCAGATAGTAAGTTATACGATATCCTAGGTGTGTCCAGAAATGCAAGCGAATCAGAAATAAAACGGGTAAGAAAAGATTGATCCACGTTATCTATTGTTAATTACATGCTGGTACAAAGGCAGATTATAGTCGAACATAATTGTCGTGATCGCTCGGACACAGTTTTCCAATAGATAATTTCTGTTTTTCAGAATTACCACAAATTAGCAAAAGAATTCCATCCAGACAAAAATCCAGCTGCAGGGGATCGCTTTAAAGAAATAAGTTTTGCATATGAAGTTCTATCCGACCCAGCGAAAAGGAAAACTTACGATAAATTCGGACTAAAAGGATTACAAGAGGGAGGACAGGGTGGTGGGTTGTCTACAGACGACTTACTCGGGCATATCTTTGGTGATATGTTTGGTATGGGCGGTGGCAGCCGGGGACGGGGGCGCGCTCGTGGAGAAGATACTATACATCCACTCAAAGTCACTTTAGAGGATATGTATGTGGGCAAAACTGCTAAACTGCAGCTGAGCAAAAATGTAATTTGCGGCCCATGTAAGGGTATAGGTGGCAAACCTGGAGCAGTTGTATCCTGCAGAGATTGTCATGGACAGGGCATTAAAGTGACTTACCAACAAATTGCGCCTAATATGACTCGGCAATATCAATCTCGTTGTCCTACTTGCCTAGGACATGGAGAAACCATTAGTGACAAAGACAAGTGCCCAAAATGTAAGGGGAAGAAAGTGTTGAATGAGATTAAGATCTTGGAAGTGCATGTTGAGAAGGGTATGAAAGAAGGTCAAAAAATCTTCTTCCGAGGTGAAGGTGACCAGCAACCTGATATACAGCCTGGAGATGTCATCATTATTTTGCAACAAAAGCCTCATGATGTGTTTCAGCGAACTGGAGATGACCTTATAATGAAACATGACATAACATTGACTGAGGCTTTGTGTGGGTTTCAATTTGTTGTACAGCACTTAGATGGTCGTGAGCTACTTGTCAGACACCCTCCTGGTGTTGTAATTAAGCCTGGTGATTTAAAAGGTATACAAGGGGAAGGCATGCCGCAATACAAGAATCCCTTTGAAAAAGGAAATCTTTATGTCAAGTTTAACATTGTATTCCCTGAAAACAACTTTGGAACTGAAGAGCAACTGCAAAAGATTGAAAGTATATTGCCACCACGGCCAGCCTTTGTTATGCCAACTGGGGAAGATGTGGAGGAGGTAAACATGATGGAGTACACTGCTAGTGAGCGAAGCCGTGGCCGCGAGGAAGCTTATGCCAGTGATGATGAGGAAACAATGCATGGAGGTCCTGGCATGCAATGTGCCCATCAGTAGCTCAATATTCATCTATCCTTGTCAAAGGATTTTTACTCAGACCTCACGTGTAATTTTATCACAATAATTCTAGGTAGTTAATATTATTGAAACATTTTGAATACTAGACTCATTTAGTGGCCAGCCAAGTGATAAATTAAAAGGGATATTTTAATATTGTTCTGGATGTGTATCATTGGCTTGGCAAGGTTTTTTATTTCATCTTGTTTATTATTGGTTTAATTCATGTAATTCATTCCACAACCATATGCACTGTTTGTTTTATGTATTCTTTTATGAATGCTACCTACAATAAACATGAGTTATTTTAATTGTGTAATGATTTTTGATAGAATTTTGAAATATGCATAATGGTATAGGGCATGTAAATAATATAAATTGTTTCAGGTAGCAATAAAATTAATATACTGCTTGTGACAGAATTTTTTTTTAAATTCATTTTCACTCAAATAGTCTTTGTAGACATCATATTCTTGTTTATAAATTTGCAAGGCATTTACTCACAATTATTATACTCAATGCTAGGAACTTTGACTTGCTATAATTTTGAATACATGTTTCTAATCTATACAATTAATAAAATTGTAGTGTTTGTTAATATTGACAAAAATCATATTTGTTCTGGGTAATCTCTGAATGTTTTCTGGAAGGTAGCTTATGAATATTTTCATACACTATCAAGTATCAACTGTGCGCAGTTAATAATACTTATGAGGCAAAAAAAGAAAGAAGATTAATGATCAAATTGGATTTATTAGCATAATAAAATAGTAATTCACCATTACTAGTTTTGGATTGAAACAGACTCTAATGATGCAAAATACTTTTTAAAGTCCTTTTTACTTCTAGACACTGCATTTAAATTGATTTCTTTTAGGCCTAATCTTCTGAGTTTCTGTAGTCGTTCCTTTACAGTCTTCTGAGATGCAGTTAATACCCTGGGTCTCCTTGCAATATCTTCAATAGCAAATCCTTCACTAATTAAAAAATCTAAAAATGATTTGAGCTGAAAAAAATTGTAATTGAAATGATTGCATAATAAATGATTAAAATTAATATCATTTTGTTATTTTGCAAATAATATGTTGATATATCCATCCATTAATATAATTTTAAGATTAGTGTAAATATACCTTAGTTACTCTAATTGTTCTTAGTGCAGGCACTTTTTCACACATTTTTTCCACATCCTTAGGTGAAACATTCAATCTGTTTGCTAAGTACACATGGGTAGATTGGTTTTCCCCAAGAATATTTTTTGTTTCTTGTAATATTTCAATATACCTGTTACATGGGACAGAAATAATACTGTATGGGATATATTATTCAAACTTCTTCTTAACTTGAATTACAAAGTACACTTAAAAAAATGATATCATCAATAATGATTTTTTAAATGGACATTTAAATGATATTAATTAATAATGAAAACTTGTATACAATTGTTTTATTTCAATTGTGAGAAAAAGGAAATATACAATAAGCATCCCTAGTTGTAATATGCACTAACCTATTTAAAATTTGCTCAGTACATCTTACCATCCATGGATACAGAGTATCCACTCCCAAAATTTTGACTTTCTGAAGTCTTTCATGAATAGTTTTAGGGTGATATTTTAGAACCCATAAATCTCTCAATATCCGTTCAGAACTTACTCCCATGTCTGAAAGTAATACAAAAATATTTAAATATAGTAGTACAAAAAATATTTATGGGAGAAATACTTTGATTATGACTTACCTAGTAAAACATTCAAAGCACTTTCAAGCCAGTCGAATGGTAAATTATAAATGAATGTTCTTTTAGCTAATGATTCTCGTAACATGTCAGGAGAACACTGAAATACAGAAAATAGTAAAATTACAGTTTAAATAAAAAACTATACAATAGTATACCAAAAGGGTACTTACTTTTAATCGAGATGAAATATAATATAATCTGTTTTTACAAAAACCCATCTTTTCATCATATTTTGTACAATTGTAAATTTGTAATAAGCTTCTTGTGGACAATTTGTAAAAAGGAAGTGCATCTTCTTCAGATAAGAAATTTAATTTTGAAATAAGCTTAACTTTAGACGCATCAAAGTTTGGATTACCGAAATCACTTCTATATACCTGATGTGTTTTAATCGTTGATTTATTACTACAATAGTTAATACCACGGGATTTATTCGCTATTAAAAAATTTCGAAAACAATGATTATGTATTATAGTAAAAGTTGAATAAATATTTTTGGGACATCGTGAAAAAAGGCTTGTCATATTGCTTGTTTTTAAGTATTATTTTAACAATACAAATTCTGATCTTTTGAAATTAAATGACAATTTTAATTATCCTTGTTTATCAAATTCAAATGACAACTGTTTGTGTCACTAGAGTGACATTGACACTCAAAGAGTATATAACTGACTGATTGCTTGTACAGACTACTTATGTTTCATTACGAATTTCAATGCGATTGACTTATCAAGTTGTATTATTTATTTATGTCACTGCAAAACATTATATTTTTGTTACAACTTATAACTCCAAAAGTCATCAATCAACGAGAAATGGCCAATCGAATTTAAAATCACTTAAGGCGAATGATGCAGTCAGCAAATTCACAATTTTTCGTTCATTAGTATGAAAAACGTATTTAGATTATGGCGGCAAAGTTTGAAAACGACATTTCAATAAACACACGTGTGTTTGGGATGAAATTAAGTTATTTAGTTTATTATATAAATATTATTTATTGTCAAATAAAACTCAATTATCGTAAATTATACATTTTACTAAGCAATTGTACTTTTATAAAGTAGTTGTTATTTTTATAACTAAATAGCTGTTGCTCGTCACTTTATCAGCTCTCGATTTAACAAAAATTCTAGTAATAATTTAACCTATGTTAGCCAGTACAGGGGAATTTTAAACCTTTCCTCTTTATAACATTAGGATAGATTATAATAAAAGCAAAAACCAAACTAATAATTTCCTTAAAATTATTAGTATTACGTATTCCATCAGCGATCGTTGGTATCACTTCTAGACTTCCTTTTGCGCGGGGTGTCGCGATCTTTTTCATTGTGATGTCGAGAACTGCGATCTTCATTGTCATGTCTTGAATTCCTAGAACGAGATCGTCTTCTCTTTGGCGACGGATCTCTTTCCGGAGATTCTGACCATCTCCAAGACCGTGGGGGTGTTCTTCGTTGCCTTAAAAGATGGTAAAACATTAAAAGTATTTTTTAAAGAAAAAAAGAAAGGACAAATTGCATTCTGCAAGGATTTTAGTTAAACACTAGAACAAAAAACTTATTAATTAGCCTACATGTTCTTCTATATCTAAGCCAAATTTCAGCAAGATTGGTTCTGGAGATACCTTCAAACCGTCCATCCATCTAAACATCCTCATTGATAATATTATAGTAATGGTAAATATTAGTAAAATGAGTAAGGCTGTAGTATACATGTATTACAACAGTGAAATACCTGTTATGTTGACCATTATATCCAGAAAATAAATCTTTTGGGTTCCTGAACACATGTAAGTAGTTGCAGCCTCGACCTTTGGGACAGCGTCTTTGTGGATGCAATCCTAAAATATTTTTTTATTAAAACACAATTCATAAACGTAACCTATATATTGTAGTAGGTAGTGATAAAAAATCATACCACATATTGCATTATCCCAGGACTTTATTTTACAGAATTGTAATGACAGCTGCCTACCGCCATACCAACGTGAATGAAGACCTTGGTATGCAGCAACTGCACTTCGTAGATCTCTAAATTCTACATATGTATTTCCTCTCAGATGTTTCTCATAATTATTGCACACCTATTAAAATATAAATTTTTATGAACATTTATTTATTTACCTAAATTGGTTATAATCTATGTTATTTTATTCATAAAAAGCTTGTTCCTTTTTTTTCAAGATAACAATGATTATATATTATTATTGGTACATTAAGATTAGGTGTTTTCAAGTGTATGCTTTTCTACATATCCCATATACATCCATTCACATCAACACATGTTAGTATCTTATATGAATCAGTTGCAATTTATAGTATATGTTGCTTCTCTTCTAGTTTTATTTTATAACAGAAAATTTGAACAATTTAAAATTGAACTCAGTAGAATCACAAAAGGTTGACAAGATATGTAATTATAAATGTACATATTAGACTTTACCAACCTTTAAATTAAAATCGATTCCTTGTGAAGTAAAATTTCCAGGTGAAGAATTTCACTGTTCAATAAAATATTGCCTAACTTGGCACATATATACAATGTATATAAAAGATATCATGGAAATCACTATATAAAAATAAAATTAATATGAAAATGCCAATAAATAAAATATAATAATAAAATATTATCCATCAAGACAAGATGTGGAAAATTATAATAATAAAAACATTACCTATATGTACATTTTAACTTTTTATCTTGTTCATTGAGCCAGTTTTATTAACTATAGCCGTTAAAGGAATGAATTCAAATAAAAGGATACAATCAACATATCAATATTTATGTGATCTTCTTAACTCACCTTAAGCTGTACAATTTTACCATATTTTTCAAACTCTGGCAGTACATCATTAAAGAACTCTTCAAAGTGTTTATATGTGTCTTTATCATCATATTCCAGCATTAGGTCTGTATCATATTCGTTGAAATTGGAATTTTCTAAGCCAAAGTGTGAATAAAAGTTTGTAGCTAACAGTACCTGAAACATTTTAAAACAGAAGTTTGTGTTATCAAAATATTTATTTGATAGACACATTATATTGTTACATTTATAGGATGTAATTTAAAATTTTAACCAATTATAGGGTTACATCATATAATTGGCTAGTTATATTTTGTTTTAATTAGACTTACATTACTTATGCCAGGATATTGGTGATTTCGTGAACACTCATCCCCAAAACGGCAACAAGCTGTTTTCAAAAAGAAGGGACATAGATTTGTATTTGGACGAGATTCTCTGGATATAAGTAATTCTTCAGGTGGGTCTTCTGAATCGCCTTTTAGAAATTGTTCTAACTTTTCCATAAATATTGTTTGTTTCCTTTTATTTTCTTCTTCAATTTCCTTTAATCTTTCTGCTTCTTCTTCTCTTCGTTTTTTTTCCATTTCCCATTCCTGATACACATCAACATTAATAAAGACTAAATCATTTATCAGTCTAACAAAATAAAAATTGTCAACTAGCCCCATAGAATATGCTACTATTCCTCATGATATCCATATGAATATGTGATGCTCTCTATTGGAGATCTTAAAACTTCAAGTTGGTTTTTGGTACTTTAATTTGAAAGGTTTAGAAACTTACCAGTTTACGTTTAGCAATTTCTTGCAGATGTTTTAGTCGTAACTGTTCATTCTTTTCTTGGAGTTTCCGCCATTTCTCAATTGTAATTTTTTCAGCCATTTCCCATTTATCATTTTCTTCCTTATTGCTAATTTCAATACGTTCCATTTCAAGAATATACATGGCTTCTTGATTTTCCAGCCAACATTTACATTCTTCGGGCGTAAGAATCTCTTGAGGATCTTGAATTATCAACTATTTTAGTTTACATATTTTTCTCATATTATGTCGCATTATTGACAATTATCTTCAAATAAACGTACCTAGATTTTTTGCGTTTTCTTTCCGAATTCTGCGTCGTCGCTCTCTCTTTGCTACTTTACGCCATTCTTTATGCCTGTTTGCAAAAATTTACAATGAGAAACAAAGCTTTGTAATAAATATCTACTTACCTATTTAGGGAAATACTTTCCTGCCCATGTTGAATTGTTACATTATGAGATTAAATGTAAAATAACTATATGCAATAATATAAAAATCATTATCTTAGGTATTATTTCTGTTTTCTAAACGGTATTATTTAGTTTGGATTGTTGTTATAATTTTGGGGATGACAGTGACTTTGACAGTTTAATTTTTAATTGAAGTTGTCTAAGTGATCACAGGTCACTACAGCTATGTGTTATTGGATTTCGATTTTATATGGAATGTGAAATATAATATATTAATAATATAATATAGCGATAGAATACACGAATACACATTTGATAGAAACATTTCCGACAACCAGAAGTTTTCCTGACTATAGATAACTTATCAGAACACTCGAAACTTATATTTAATTGGAGGGGCCCCTGTAATTAGATTAAGTGAAACACTATTCAAAAATCAAAAACTAAATGGAAGCTGGTTGAATTTAAAACAAAAATATGTTTATCCGTAGTCGAGTTTTTATTTAAAAACTGTAAAATACCATTCTGAAGTAATTAGGGTTACAATTAAAAAGAAGGTATCCGTAAAACACTTTTTTGAAATGTCAGTCGAATTCATCCATGTAGTGTTTTCTATTTAAAAATGGACAGCAGTCGATATAGGATCAAAAAGTGCATTTTACAAAATAACGAAGGAGAATTAGTAAAATTATTAAAAAGTGGTTTTAATCCTAATCATGAAGGAGGCTGGCCAATAAGACTAGCAGCTCGCCACGGGTTATATCCAATTGTTAAACTACTTATGCAATATGGAGCTAATCCGCACCTTATTAGCGAGGCTGGTGAGTTTCTTTCACGTTAATATTTAGTTTATCTATTCAATACAAATAGTCGTTTACCAGCAGGGGCCTCAAACCGTCATCTGTGGGTTGGATATTACAATCAGCATTAAGAAGGTAATTAAGTCATTAAATATGAAATAACATACTTTCAGGTGCCTCGACGTTGCAATTGGCTGTTTACTCCGGCGAATTTTGGAATACCGATAAGTGGTCTTTCCTTTTGTCTTGTTGCGATTCTTCGCAATTAGCTGATGGCGCTGCTGTAGCTATGGTATTCTACAATATACCGGCGTTAAAAAAGATTATGGAAACCGGACGATGTAATACTCATATACCTACGTCATTAACTGGTTAGTAAGTCCTCCTCGGAGTTGTTGAAAACCTACAGAAAATATTATTATTATCTTCATTATTTTTTGTGCTACATTTTAGGTAAAACAGTTGACGAATTAGCAAGAGGTTACAAGTTGCAAAGCCTTTTATATTCACCTAGGATTCAAAACAATATAAATGTCGTTTCGCCAATTTCTTCACCTGGAAATATACGACAAACCGAATCGGTATGCTTTCTTTTTTTAGGATAGTGCTAGTAAATCATTGAATACTTTATATACGAATTATCTGAGATACTTTTCTTGAAAATAAATCTGAACTCAAAGGAATCGTCGCAAACGTATCTTTACTAATTCGTTGGAGTGTACAAACTTCGTCATTTATGGTACCAAGGGCGATTGAAATAACTGTTTAATATTAAATTCCAAGTTATATTAACAAGATTTTTTTAAATTATTCTTTCAGGATTACAGGATGTTATCACCACAGCCACCAAGAAGAAATTTGTCACCCTCTGTAGCTAGGTTCTTTAATCAAACTGCGAATCAGACGTCTCTTACGCCTCCGAGGAATACCTTAACTCCTAACTACTTACCTTTTCCTAATTTTTAATTTGACTGAAACTTTTTGGAGTAATTTTATTCATGTTAGATGTAGAAAATCAATTTTAGCAAGACGTGACCAAAGGTTAGAAATGTAATATTTGTAAGGTATAGAAAACATATGACGATAGTTCTAAGCTATTGTTTATGACAGCCACATAGTAGTAGTAGCAGCCATTTTACATAGTTAAAAATCGTGGGTTTGAATTCATATTTACATTTTCTAATTTTGTAATATAATTTTTCAACAGACGGTTAGTTTGACAATGGTATAATAATTCGTCATTAAAACATATATTATGGGTACTAACTAAATTAAATTTCTGTTCTTATCTTTGTCTACGCTATTATTATAATTGTATACTATTATCAAGTTAACCACGACATCCGCATATTAAAGCTATTTCATAACATGGTTGAAATCTTGCAACGATTGAATTTGTTCCTACGATTTTTAAAAACGTTTATCGAAGTATGAATAAGTCAATTTTTTTAATACGATTGTGGAGATAAAGAATAAGGAAGCAAGAGCTTCTTGGTAGTTAAAACGACGAGTCTAAAAAATAATACATAGGTAATTAATGTTAATCATTTTAATTAATATATTTTATCGAATGACATGTTGGTTTTATCTAACATATGGATGAATAATAATCTAATTTAAATATAGAAATGTTTTAATATTAATCAAATTAAGATTTAATTTTCGTGAATATATGTCTGAGAGAAATTTGAATCATTAATTAACTTCTATAAAGCTGACATTTCAATTAAATTTTATGAATTTGAATTTGTTGTTTTTTTTAACATGTGCTATAATTTTTTAACGCTTTTGTTGAGTCGATCGCTGTGTCGGAGTACAAAGACTTACTGCTTGCGAGTAAGTGTCGTTTGAAACCTGAAAATTGGACAATTATGAAATCGTACTTTCGCCGAACATAAAACATTTATATATTCAAAGTTGGACAAAGCTATAGTAGAAATTACTTACGTCACTAGCACTAAAATTGCTATTTTCACTATCGAATTTTATTACTAACGGCTTGCCAAGGAAACAAGGCATCTTAGTTTTTAGACTTGTTAAAAATCTCGAAAGTACAGACTCCTAGAAAAATAGTTATTTCATTTATAATTTAAGTTATTTCTGTTAAATCAAGTATCCATTAGTATTATTATTTATACTAATAACATGGAAGATGACTTCGCATTTCAAATCTCTCACCTCAGCAGACTTGGGCAACGGTGTTATGATGGGGAAGTTTTGTGTTAAGCACAACTTTGGATAGGTTAATGGCTCTCCGCGCCAAAACCTAACCATGTAATACGAACCCTCCTCTTCCGGTATGCGGTAACCGTGCTAAAATCAAATATGACAACAATATACGTCAAAAGTTTGCAGAAACAAGAGTTGACATCATTGCTGGAAGCCATCTCAAGAAATTGCTTACGATGTTTTTCCAGTGTCTTCGTAAATCTTGATAACTCTTAAAACTTCCAGACTCAGGTAATGATTTGCAGAAATCCTGTATAATGGCTTTGCTTAAACTAAAAAAAAAGTCAAAAGTAGCATTTAATAAAAAAATCTAAACTATATTTATATGTAACGGAAACATAAAAACCTTGGCAATACCCGGACGCAGTCACCGGGCTTGTAGTCACTATCAGAACGGATTAAAATCATTTTAATCGGCTTTAATTCGAGTACCGTGGACGAGTCTGGAATGAGTGTCTTACATTATTTGAATATATTTATTTTCGCGATGATTTCCCTAATTGAGAGACTGCACAACATGGGATTTGTTAATTAGAAATTTACGTTAAAAAAGAGTCGTAGGTAAAACCTCTTACCGTTAAATGAAATTTGGTATTTGATACCATCTTGATGACCCGTAGTCGACAGGAAATTTCTGTTATTAATAAGATAATTATATCCTATCGTATTCCAAGTTGGCGCAATCCGAGCCGTCATCGTGTAGCGGAAACACATAAGAAACATTTCTGGCGTTACTTGTCTTATAGCCCCTTGCTATAAAAATAAATTATTTAAAGAAACATACCCGGCAATCAGTATGGTATTTCCAATTTATGTACTATCAATATTTGAATGTAAAGTTAAGGTGTGTACGTCGACTTTTTAATATTATGACTTACTTGAATAAGAGCAAATTTCATAAACAACGATGTTAAACGATCGTAATCATCGTTCATGGTGCTAATGATAATATGAACTTGTTTTATTTCCTTCTTGTCGGGACAGGCTAAAATCGACGAGTTCGAAAATATTAGCATCCTGAAAATAACTTTTGTTCACAATTATGGACTTTACTATACATTTATTAAACAGATTAAATATTTACCTGCACTTTAAGATTTTCCAATGAAAATGTGACGGTGCAGATCGGTCATGTTTATCGTTTAAATTAGCTGTAGCTATAACATGTCCTATATTATCGAAGCCGGGGTTTTCAATGTGAAAAGAATAATATGATTGCATGTTTGCTATCAACTATTTACTAATTACTTATAAGCATTAAGCACTTTATACAACTTGGAAACTGTTTTTTAATTTATTTTGTTTTGTTTTCCCGCCAAGTTTAACTTTTTAATAATTGGGGCAAAGAGTATATTGCTTACGAACTCTTGAGTACAGCAAGAATAACATAACGCGTTTTAACATTTTTTGCACGATTTGTTTTATTGATAATTAACAATAGAAGGTAACAAAATATTTTATTTTAATTTATTTAGTTAACGCAATAGTCAAGTTAATATATGTAAAAAAAATATTTGTCGCAGCGGCTTCAAAATTTGAACTTTTGTACCTTTCGTGAATTATAAAGTGTTGACAACACTAAGGTTTAAAAAAAAAACAAAATGAAAGATAATGTCACATTTTATTGTATTGATAACAAAATATATCGAATAAGTACTAATGTGAAACTGGAAAGGCCACGATGTCAGTATTCGAATAACATTAAAAATAATGATACAACTTAAAAATTATGAAGGTTAATGTTCAGTCATGATTTTCAAATTGGTCGCGTGCTTTGCGCAAGACGCCTTGCGTCTTGTGTATCTCGCGACAGATGGCGCGCTGCACGCTGCGCTTGCGCATGTTGGCCGCGTTCAGCTGGGTCAGCGTCTCCGCCAGCGTCGCTTTCGTCCGCGCTAGTTTCTGTTTCAGCACCACATTCTCTTCATATAACGATCCTGAAAATAAACGAAACTTTATTAATTTTTGAGTCTATAACTTAAAAAAAAAACTAATTATCATATACTTATGGCTTTAAATTTATAATTATTATTACAGTTATGAAAGAATATGAATTTTAAAAAAACTCACGTGGTGACAAAGAAATGGCATCGTTTTGTTCCAAGCTAGAGAGCCTATCACTATCGATACCCTGGTCCGGAGAAGTCGGTCGGTCCTCTTCAGAATGAGCGGCTTCTTGCATTTCAGCTATTTTATGGTCGGCATCTAACGCTACCTTACGAGTTAATTGTATTTCTAACTGTGCATTTGCATCTAACGCGGCGGTGAGTTTATCTCTAGCTTCTTCTAATTCTCTTTCAATTTGTAGTTTGTCGTGTTGTGCTCTGGCCCTCTCCAGCGCGGCTTGCGACGCCTGCACGGTCGCCTCGTCCGCCGCTCGTCTCAATGATCTCTCAGTCTCCATAAACGTTGTTTCTAAATCTTGCCTTTCTTTGCGTAATTTATCTGTTAACTGAATGTTGTAGGCAAGTTGTTGCTCGCAGTCTTTTAGCCTGAACTCCATTGTTAAGTAAGTATTTCTAAGTGCATCCAAATTGTTATTAGCTTCAACAACGTTATTACGTTCCGAAGTTAAAGCCTTCATTAGTTCATCTTTCTCGCTTATAACTTCATTGATTCTCTTCATCGCTTGTTCCAATTTGTTACCAAGGTCTTTCTTTTCTTCTTCCAGTTGTTCATTGTGATTAGTTAGTTCGCGAATTTCTTCTAGGAATGCCGATTCATTAATCATTTTATTATCTTCAGAACGAGAACCATAAGAGATGCGTGACCGGCGTGGTCTGGCTTTGTTATTGTCAGATACAACTTCTTTGCCGGCGAGGCCAGTATCACAAAGACCTACTCTAGCCATGGATACTTTTCTATCAGGTTCTGACCAACATTCGGATTCCGATATCACGTCCGCTTGAGGGAAATGTTTATTATTTAGTTTTTTGATCGAGTACCTCTTGCTGTCATCACTGCACATAACATGGTGACCAAACATCATAGTTAAATCCTCTATTCTTAATGATTGCGAGATATCAAGATTACTTTCATCCATTGTAAAATCTTCAGGTGCCATAGTCTCGTCCAATTTTAGTCCAACTGGTAATGCTAAGCTTTGTTCTAAAATACTTTCTGCTAATTTCTTTTTTTCTTCTCCGAGGACACATCTGAAAAATACCATTGTTTTTAAAGTTACCAAAATTTTCAAATATTTTGGCGGCTCAAAGACATTAGCACACATCGTAGTGACCTCCCCTCGCATCGCGCTACGCCCCAAATACACGTAAAATTGTGTTCTTCACAGCGACACACGCGCGAAATACTTACTTGTGAGATAGCAGCTTATCAAGGAAGTACGCCATGCCTTGTAAACGTCGTGTCAGTAATTGTTGCAGGTTACTGAAATGAAAAAAAAAATACCGTTATAATATTAAGAAACACGAATAAAAAATAATATGAAACAAAAACACATGATTTCTTAAAATTACCCTGAGGAATCTTCATTTTGTTGCATTTCAGCATTTTTCTGTAAATTTCTTAGTCTATTTTCTAAATCTTTGATATGTTCATCTTTGCATTTCAAAATTTCATTGTACTTTTCAATTTGCGAGTCACTTACATGAGCATATGTTAGTTCCTTATCCTGAAATATTACAATAATTTTTTTCTGTAAAATTAAGCTATCTAAATATATTATAACGTCATTATGAAACATTATTAGAAATATTATATGTTTTTACTGTTGCAGCTCACTATATGGTAGAAAAATCCCATGGTGAGTATTATTGTTGAGGGAAATTAATCAAATATTATAATATTATTACCAGTTTCAACTTCTTTATTTCTTTATCTTGTTGTTGTATTTTCTTCATACATCCCTTGATCATTTGTAGAGCCTTGTGGTTTTCTTTGCGAAGCTTTGTTAATTGATCCTTTAAAATTTGAATAAATTTTTTTTATAAATAAACAGAATATTTCCGCACTTGTATATATTGCTATATATTGTATTTATCTTTAAAAGCAATAATATAAAATTCATTAAAATTTTTAACGAAAACAAATTTTTCGCTTCTAATAGAATAGAAGACATCTTTATATATAAATAAGTTATTATGTGAGATAACAAAACAGATAATTAGCCAAACTCACCAAATCTTCATTATTTACTGTCACCGCAAGATAGTCCCTAGAAATAAACAAAGGATTTCAATTATGCAATTGCAAAGCTGGGATTTAGTAACATTAATTTTTTTATATCAAACCTTACCCAGCTGATTCCGATTCCGGATAAGTGTCGTCGACAGCGTCTGGTTGAACTTCTGCTGTCTGTAAATAACAATAACACATTTCATTTAAATGTTTTTGCGTTTAATATAATTTTAGTAATTAATGATCTTAAGTGACTATTTCCTTTTATGTTTATAAATATTGTTTACTGAAGGGGCAATGTACGAAAGTATTTCATATGTACTTCTAATACATCATAGACGAAGCAGAATCGAGGGTAAAAACCATAACATGTAAAGTTACATCTTATAACTAGAATTTGCAAAGACAAGTACACTAATAAAATTCTGTACTTTAAAATTCTCGGTAAAACATAAGTTATATATTAATTATAATTTAGATAATTTATATAAAAGCTAGAAATAAGCAGTTATACCTTTGCTTCCTCATTTATCGTATGTCTTATGGCACAGCTGTTGTTCATTGATGTTTCCACACCTTCTGTTGAGATAGACCCCTGAAAATAATTTCAATGGTATTTTAAATAAAAAGGTAAACATCTCAAGTATAAATTTATTATTCGGCTCAATATTACTTATTTTAAATACCTGATGTTCCAAGACGTCGATAGCTTCAGCAGCCGCGGCCAGAAGTTCTTGCTTATCGCTTAGTTGTCTTCTTAGTTCTTCAACTTCTACTTGTAGCCTTACATTGTGTTCTAATAAACCCTGAAACGTGACATTTATTATTATAAGTCGTAGTTTTAAACGAAACAAGTAAATGTAACAATCAGCCAAAGACACTGAGTGCCTTTTACGAAAGTCTGGGGAAGAATACGAATCAAATGACAAATTGCACTTCAAAATCGGACACCTATTAGGCTATAGGAATAACAATATAGCAGACAAGGAAATAACAGTACTCTTTCTACAACTCAATTTTCTTAGTCGCCGTTTAGGTTTGAAGAAATTACAAAAGAACACAAGGGAACGTATCAATTTCTAATGACTCAATCATCAGTCATATGACAAGTTGTGAATTATAATATACATCGCATTTCATTTATAAACAAGCATTGTTCTGTGCAAAAACAACACCGAAGAAATAGCCTTCATATGACTTATCCCTTCTAGAATTTAAAAACATATCTTTCTTATTAGATGCAATTAACAACAATTAATCACCATCATTTGAGCCAATGTAAATCTTGATATGTATTTATTATGTATGTTGTAAAAAATACAGTCATTTATTTTAGTCGAAACCGCGGATAAAAACTGGTAAAATTTCCTAATACAACTTACTTGAACGGCGGGTGGTGCTCCATGACCTAGTTTTTCTTCAAGAAAATATATCCTTAGTTTCAAATTAAAGTTTTCTTTGCGTAATGAGTTCAACTGTTCCTCGTATTGCTTCATGCTAACTCCACTGGCAACTGTCACATCTGTAAACGACAAAATCATAATTCAATATAGTCATATTTTCAATTCTATTTGTGGGGTTTGCTCTAATACCCATAACAACAATCGACGATTTAATTTTTAAATGTCATATAATTGCTAGTGGCTAAAACAGACAATAATTAAACTTACTGTGACCCTCGGGCGAAGGGAGCGTCATCTCTTTGAGTGCCCGGGGGCTGGTGCTGAAATAAGATAATATAATATATAAATAAAAAATCCTTAATCATTGAAAACTAAATGCTATTAAAGTTTATACTAGAAAAGACCCTCCGAACTATCTTACAAGATGTTTGTGAATTTATTATAGTCAATTCGCGCTACGCAGATTGGGGATTTATGATCTTCCGCCATTCAAAGCTTCAAACAATACATGCAACACGTGCTTCAAACAGATAATGAAGTATGTAAAAGTTCATCTTAGTGCTTCCTGTTCAGTGAATAGAACAATGACCCGATTTAAAAAAATCTA